AGGGTGGGGGTAGGGGGGGCCTTCCCTTAGCTTCTATCGCCATCTGCTGGCCATATGTTGAACTGCAGAGCCCAGCAAAGGCCAACTTTGAGCTCTGGGCTTGGAGAGAGAGGAGATCAAGGAAAATCAGGCCTAGTGCTTTGGGAAACATTTTTAAAACACAATTTAAGTTGTGAATGGTTCCCTCTGTTATTCTCCAGGGTCAAGAAATAAATAAGAGTCGGACGTGAGCCTCTGGGGACCCAACCCAATATGATAACCAGGGTGTGCTCCGTCACCGTGGTGGCCTGCCCCTTGAGTATTAAGTATGTGCTGAGCACTGGACGACATGATTTAATGAGCTACCGCATTGTGGGGGCTGTTATGCTGCACGTCCATTTTACAGATGAAAACACTCAGGCTCAGAGAGGCCCCCAAAGTCCCAAGACACGCTTAAGAACGACAGGTGTCAGGTGTCAGGACTTATTGCCAAGCTGCAGTGTTAAGACGGTGTGGTCTCAGCCCAGGGAGAGACACAGAGACCAGTGGAGAAGGAGAGCCCGGAGGGTCGCTCCTCTGCTGCTGCCGCAGTCCTCCCCTCTCCAGCCCCCTAGGAGCAGGTGGGTCCTACATCTCTGGCTGCAGCTCCATCTGCTAGTCGACCCCAAAATCTCATACCTGCTTGCCTCCCAGACAAGGCCCTGTGGATATCCCACAAGCACCTCAAAGTCGGCACGTCTCGAACTGAACCCAGTGTCCTTACCCCATGTTCCCCTCCAGTGGGCGGCACCCTCGCCCGTCCGTCCAGTTGAACCAGTCACCAGTGCCAAAACCCCAGGAGTCACCCAGATTCCTCCCGCTCCCTCACTCCCACATTCGGGACTCACCATGTCCTGTCCTTACTTCCTTCTAACTAGCCCTCCCCTGGACCCCCCACCCTCAATCTCCATGGCCACCCCTGGAAGCATCTCTTGCGTAGACAAGGGCAGTGGTCTCCTCAGAGGTTTCTCCTCTTTCAGTCTTAAAACACAAAGTAGGTGTGTCACTCCTCTGTCTAAAGCCCTCCAGTTATTGGCAGATGGACAGACACGTAGTTCAATGGAACAGAATTGAGAGCCCGGAAAAGAACTTATATATTTATGGTCAATTGATTTTCAGCGAGGGTGCCAAGACAATTGACGGGGAGTCGGGGGTAGTTTCGTCTTTTCAACGAATGGTGCTGGGACAACCGGATACCCACAGCCTTACCTCACGCCGTATACAAAAACTAACTCAAAATTGATCTAACAACAAAAAGGATGAGAATAACACCTTTTTAAAGGGTGGGCAGGAGAATTCATTGGGCTAATGTTTGCAAAATGCTTAGCAGTATACAAGTGTTTGTAGATAGATGGGTAGGTAGATGGAGAGAATAAGAGAACGATGAATTGTTTTGCTTCTCTCTCGAAGCCAGAGCGAAAGCAGCCCCTATAGAGAAGCAGCCGCTGGGGTTCCCCATCTGAGAGGCTGGAAGGCAGAGCCGCACTTTTACTCTGAAAATGGATCGGTTTAGGAGCAGCAAGACAGATGCCCCCGCTGGTAAGAATATCTAGACCAGAGGGTATTGCACTAGCGTTCTGTCAGTTAAGGAATTATAGCTCTTAGGATACCAGCTTCTGCACAATAAAATGATTTTTAAAACAACACTTTAAAAGGCCGATTAAAGCATAATGCTTTGTTTAGTTACTGCCACAGAATGTTTTGTTTGCGAATTACAGCCCCGCGGATTTAATTTACTTTCTGCTGACACCCGTATTAGACGAGATGGGCCAGGCAGGCACCGCCAGGCTGCAGGCTCCCAAGCAGCGTCGTGGGGACATGAGCTGGGGGCTCCGCCGCTGAGCCTCTTTATGGAAGAGGGGGCCTGGCCAGGCTTCCTCCCCGCCCCCAGGCCCCCAGGGTCTCCCCTGAGGGATTCGGAGCTTGGCGGGACACTGTGTGCTGAGAGTAGAGACTGAAAACTGGTCTCCAAGGACCACGTGCAGCCAACTGATGGCGAACCTTGCTCACGCCTCGATTTCTAACACTAAGGCCAACATTTAAAAATCGGGGGGTCTCACTTACACATCTGGATGTTTTGCTACTTTTGAAAACTGGGAAGGACTAGCAGCACTGGACTGGTGTTGTCCTGGCTAAAAGGAAGGCTGGAGCGAGAGGTCGCGTGCTCTCCGGTTTGTCACAATCCTTACCGTTCCCTCCTGTCCCCCTGGCAGTCGGTCAGGAGTGGGAAACTCACTCAGGTCCTGCCTGTGGGTGCCTGTGAGCTGTGGGGTTTCCCCATCCTGTGTCTGTCATTCAGCGCACCAGCAGGAAACACACAGCACACGCAGAGCGGGGCCGGAGGAGAGTTTAGTGATGGGGTTATTTGTGAAGGTTTGGGCAGCTTTGGGGAAAGCAGCAGGGAGTGCCCCGGTCCCCCAGTGTCTAACACCGGGAGCGGTTAGACAGCCGTGGGCAAACTACGGCCCGCGGGCCGGATCCGGCCCGTTTGAAATGAATAAAACTAAAAAAAAAAAGGACCGTACCCTTTTATGTAATGATGTTTACTTTGAATTTATATTAGTTCACACAAACACTCCATCCATGCTTTTGTTCCGGCCTTCCGGTCCAGTTTAAGAACCCATTGTGGCCCTCGAGTCAAAAAGTTTGCCCACCCCTGGGTTAGCATCTTGGGTCTGACGTGATGCAAGGGGTGACCCTGGAGGGGCAGCGCTACTGACGGAGCTGAGGTTGGGGCCGGGGCTGCAGAAGCCTCCAAGGGCCCTCTCCCCCCTCCCTCCAGGCTCCTCTGATGCACCCCATGGGCCACACCAACTGGAAGCCCAGGACGAAGGAGTCCATGTGAGTGAGCCTCCCAGAACACAGGGTTGGGGGCAGGGGAGGCAGAGAGAGAATCGGGGGAAGGGCCGTATGGGAGAGAGCCAGCATGCCCAGGGTCCAGCCAAGTGGCACAGCAAAAAAAATACACGCAGAGCACCACATGTTCAAGAAAAGAAATATAAGAGTGTATGTGAATTCGTGTGGAAGTTAAGAATACGTATTCTTACGCATTTAATGTGCCAATGCCTGGCCCACTTCCCTCATTGGCATCACTTTCTTGGTCCCTGTAGTCACCTGACTTTGCATCAGCGACACTGGGAAAGTTAGCCCCTTCCCTGCTCACCCCTCCCACCCAGCCCACTCTCTTCTTTATTTCCATTTGGGGAAGGCGATTCCCATCCATTCCCCAAAGAGGAAACAGCATCAGAAATCAGACCCTTCCATCCTTCTCTCCACTCCCCTCATCTGTGTGGGAAGGTGGGGGACAGGTCACAGCTTGGACACTGCCCTCAAGAACAGCTCATTCCTTGTGTCTGCTCTGCTGCTGTAGGGTAGCTCAGCAAGGCAGAGGACCCATGCCCTGAGGGAGGGCTGCCTGGTCGAATGGCTCCCCCACGGTGGGGGGACAAACTCAGGGAGGGAGAAGTCAGAAGCCTCCCTTCAGCCCCAGGTTAAAGCTGCATCCTCCAATTCAGATTTGCCATTAGTATTACTGAAGCGATTGTCCCCGTTTGATCTCGATTCCTTCTGCCCTATGTTGAGCCTCTGACTTATTTTTGGGCTGCCCAGCATAGACTCTCATCCTGTGGGTCTCTGAAGGAATTCCCCACTTTATAAGCCTCAGACGCAGACAGACCCCTGTAGAAGCCCAAAAGGCCAGCTAGGCACTTTCCCAGCCTCCCTTGCAGCTAGGAAGCAGGCACAGGACCGGGCGAAGGCAGCCAGAGGACTTTGAATCAGTCACTAGAGGTTCAGGGAGGCAGTTGCAGAAAGATTGGCTTCCAAACCGGCAGGGGCAGCAACAGTGCAGACTGGGGTGTCCATCGGCAGTGATAATGGTGGTGGCCGTGGTGGCGGCGGCAGCATCCTGGCCACTCCAGTTCTGTGACCCAGTTGTGGGTATGGTTGCATAGTCCCCAAGCCTGATTTTCCAGCCCTCCCTCCCAGGCACAGTATGAGCCACCAAGATCCTTTATTTAAATTTATTTTCTATCTTATTTTCTTTTTCCATCACCATTTATACCTTCTATGCCCCCTCCACCCACCTCCACCCACCCCTGCCGCAATAACCACTTCCTTCTCCTTCTCCTTCTCCTTCTCCTTCTCCTTCTCCTTCTCCTTCTCCTTCTCCTTCTCCTTCTCCTTCTCCTTCTCCTTCTCCTTCTCCTTCTCCTTCTCCTACCGCAGCGGTTCTCAATCTGTGGGTCGCAACCCCTTTGGGGGTCGAACGACCCTTTCACAGGGGTCGCCTAAGACCATCGGAAAACACGTATATAATTACATATTGTTTTTGTGATCAATCACTATGCTTTAATTATGTTCAATTTGTAACAATGAAATTGGGGGTCACCACAACATGAGGAACTGTATTAAAGGGTCGCGGCATTAAGAAGGTTGAGAACCACTGGGTTAGAGCGTTGGCTTTCCAGATGCAGGTTCAATTCCCTGTTAACGGCACGTACCTCAGTTGCAGGTTGTCTGGTAGGGGCGCATGGGGGAGGCAACCAATTGAAGTGGCTCTCTCTTATGTTGATGTTTCTTACTCTCTCCCCCTCCTCCCTCCCTTCCACTCGCTCTAGAAATCAATGGAAAAAATATCCTTGGGCAAGGATTTAAAATAAATAAATAAATAAATCTCAATGGTTTACAACAATAAGGGCTCATTTTTCACTCATCCTTTGTGGATCATCTGTAGCACTACCCATTCTTCATTCCATGGTATCTTCACTCAAGGATCCAGGCAGAAAGCGTATCTCCAGCTGGAACATGATCTTGTGGCCGAGAAAGAACAATGGTTCTTGACGCTAACTCTCCGCTCAGGACTGCACACATACCTGCCATTCACATTTCAGTGAGGAAGCGTGAGTCCACCAGCTGGGAAGTGGAGGCCTCCTCCAGGGACTGGCAGCAAATTATTGAGAACAATGGCACAATTCACCACATTGTTTCTAGCAATGCCTTTTGCCTTCAAGTCTATTTCTCCGATGTTAATATAGCTAACAGACCCAGCAGGATCTCTTTTACCATTCTTTTAGTTCAATTTTTCTGTCTTTGTATTTTAAACAGTATATAGTTTGATTTTTAAAAAATCTGATGTTACAATTTGTCTTTTAACTAGAAAGTTTTGGGTTTTTTAAAAAAAATATATATATATATATATAAAAATATATATTTACGAATTCATGCACCAGTGGGGTCCCTTGGCCTGACCTGTGGGATCAGGCCAAAACCAGCTCTCCGACATCCCCCAAGGGGTCCCGGATTGCGAGAGGGTGCAGGCCAGGCTGAGGGACCCCACCGGTGCATGATTGGGGCTGGGGAGGGATGCAGGAGGTTGGCCAGCCAGGGAGGGACCACAGGAGGGCTCCAGGGCATGTCCGGCCCTTCTCGCTCAGTCCTGATCAGCTGGACCCCAGCAGCAAGCTAACCTACCAGAGCATCTACCCCCTGGTGGTCACTGTACATCATAATGAGCAGTTGAGCGGCTTTAGCATATCATTAGCATATTACGCTTTGATTGGTTGAATGGATGACCAGATGACCGGACACTTAGCATATTAGGTTTTTATTATATAGGATTGTGATTACTGATACATTTGAATTTATTTTTCCACTTCTTCCTGTGCTTTGTATTTTTTCCAGATTTTTTTTTTAATTTTTAAATTGATTTTAGAAAAGAAGGGAGAGGGAGAGAGAGATAGAAACATCAATGATGAAAGAGAATCATTGACTGGTTGCCTCCTGCACGCCCCCCACTGGGGATCGAGCATGTGCCCTAAGAATCCAACCATGACTTCCTGGTTCATAGGTTGACACTCAACCACTAAGCTACACTAGCTGAGCTGTATTTTTTTTCAGTTTTTAAGTTCTTTTGTTTCTGCTTTTATTTCCTTCCCTTTCCCCCCCTTTCCTTCTTTTTAAAAATATTATTTTTTCTTCTTCGGGTTTGGACAATAATTATTCTTTCAATGGTAAACTTCAAAAATCTTAACATTCGTTTTTCATTAGAAGTCTAACGTTAATCAATATTTTTATGGGCAGTGCAAAGACGTTAGATTGATTGAACTAATGGCTCCAATTCTTCACTTTCCCTGAGTGCAAACTCTTTGCCATAATCCTTCACAGCTCCCTCCTACTACAACTCTAGACTCAGCTATGTGACCTGCTTTGGCATGACATGTAAGAAGACTCTTGGGAATGTGCTTGTGCGTTTCCATTTGCTCTGTTGTGTCCCTGCCATTGCCGTGAGAACTTGTCCAGACTACCTGGCTGGTGAGTAAGAGACCCATGGAGCAGAGTCAAGGCCCACAGCCAAGGCCATTATAGATCAGCTGATCCCTGACTTGTAAGCAAACCCAGCCAACCTCAGCAGAGCTTCCTAACCCACCCAAGCAGATGCCAGGTACGTGAGCAATAAACAAATATAATTGCATGCCTCTGAGGTTTTGTGGTCACTTGTTATGCAATATATAACCGATGCACACATTATAATGTT